TGTAAGTCCAAATGGTGCATTAAAAAAAAAAAAAAAAAAAATAAAAAAAAAAAAAAAAAAAAAAGTAAAAGGGAAAAAAAAAAAAAAAAAAAAAAAAAAAAATATCTGTCATGAAACTTAAGGAGAGTGCTTTTATGTGTTCAAGATGTCTGTGTATCAACCTCTCCGTGTCCTCGCTGCATCTTGCTCCAGGGTTTGGTGGCAATCTTGAAAAGAGAAAAGTGTAGGAAGGGAAACTAATGCCACGAGCAACTCTTTAGCTCCTACTCAGAGTAGCATGGAGTTGTATCCATGGTCCCAGAAGTTCACACCTTCTTACTTCCTTCCCACAGTGTCCATCCAACAGCTGAACTCCTTGCCCTCGCCATATACTAAAGGGGTTGCCCACAAATTATTCCTAGGTGTGCGCCATAAAACAGGCTTTATTTTTCTGTAAGAACAATGTTACAACTAAATCACAGATACGCTGAATAATATTTCACAAAAAGCAAACACAGCCTATAGGAATTTAAGGTAAAAAATATACTGTGAAATTTTAAAAGATGCTCACAAAGTTACTTACAAGGGGACCAATGTACTAAAATATCCATGTCCAGCAAACACAAATACAATTTTATCACCCCAAGTTTGACCTAACACTAAAATGTTAGCAATCCTAAGTACTGAGTATTTAAAAACAATTTTTCTTGCCTTTTTAAAAGTTAGAAGGGCTTTTGGGAGATGATTTGAATATCCCACTTACAAAGTTTTCCAAGGAAGTCAGAATTACAACTTCTTTTCCCTCTTGATAAATATTCTCTAATTTTGGTTATATTGCCCACATGTATCTATATTGTTTATTGTGCTTTGTAAACAACAGACTCCGTAGTACTTAATTTATAGATGGGAATTCAAAAAATCATGAACATCCCACCAAATATTGGTCCCATTTCTACCTGCATTTCTCCAGTAACAGGGAACTCGCTTCCTACAGAAGCAGTCCATTCCATTTTTAGATCTCTCTCCTTTCACTGAGTTTTAGGTTATTTTCCTATAGTTCCTCATGTATTACTAATTCCCTTCAGAAAGCCAAAGAACAAGGCAAATCCCTCTTCCTTATGCCAGCCCTCTCATATCCACAGAGTGCTAATGTACTGGGTTCTCTAGAGAACACGAGTCTGAGAAAGTTGAAGGAATTGTCCATACTCTTTGTGCTGTGTTGAAGCACATTAGGAATTAACCTTACAAAGTTAAAGATCTCTCATCAAACTACATTTAAGTACAGACAAATATACTTTGTGGAAAAAAAGCATCTTATTTATGTAGAGGAGAACTCCCTATGATCAAGTAATGCTGTTTTGTTTCAAGGTCAGTGAGTACATCAGGCTATAATAAATTCAAATAAGTAATCATCCTTACGTGTGAAAACAGTTTCTTCTTAAAGGCCACCCTTTGTGTTGCCCGTTCACACATTATCTGCAAAGCGCGTTCTGCCACTCCTACTGTTCTCATACAGTGATGAATTCTGCCGGGTCCAAGGCGGCCTTGGGCAATTTCAAATCCCCTACCTTCACCTGTAAGAAAGAAAGGAGAACATGAAAGTGGCCACAGCCCACACTTTGTTATTTACACAGATCTTGAAAAATGATGAGCTGCCCCCTCAATGAGAATGGCATTCCGGTAGGAAAAAAGCTCTATAATAACGTTCATTATTTATGGAACTTCTGATTTCTATGTTTTTTAAACCATCATTGTTAAACATTTTAATCCAATTTAAGAACTGTTTCTTGAGTACCAACTGTGCATATATTTTATAAGTGCTGCAGTGGTTACAAAGGTAGATAAGACATAGTCCCTACACTAGGAGTTCAGAATCCAGAAGTGGGGACAAGGATGCTAGAGATAAGGGATATGGAGGAGAACAAAGAAAGGCAAAGGAGAGACAGATTGTATCCTGAGGGACTGGCAGGCAGCAGGGGCTTGTTGAGTGGATGCGGTGAAGAACACAAAACCTTTCTGAAAGAAGTGCCACTCGAGATGTTCTCTGAAGGTTGGGTAGGATTCCAATAAGCAAAAGGATGAAGTCATTCCAGGCATTCAGTATGCCAAGTTATTTAAGCTTCTAATGTGTTTATATATAAAACTTGAATTCAGAAAGTATATTGAGGCTTTCTTAAAACAAGTAGAGGCCTAAAGTCACGTTTTAGGAAAAAGTATGTTGCTCCTGTACGTTTTTTGTATTTAGTTGTGTATTCAATTGATGTCATATATAAAACCACATCAAACACTTAAATAAAATATTATTCCATGTAAGAAAACCCACCATGAAAAAATGTTCCCTTACAAATGGGGTAAGAGGGAAAAATATCTAAATCAAGATACATTTCCTATCTTTTCCAGATTTAGACCTGAAAATATTTTAGTACACAGTACTGGAGAATCATTTTTCTAACTTATCTCACCTAGTATTAAATTGGTGACAGGAACTCGTACTTGATTAAAATGGATCTCAAAATGTCCTCCATGGAAATTATCTATAAAATAGAAAATATAATTTTAAAGAGCAAAATGAGTTGATCAAAAAAATACTCATATATAATTAATAATTACTCAAAGAAATTACTCGGAAGTAGGACTTAAAAGCCTCATATGTTGGATATTCCTAGGCAAACCCTGAGTTCTGAACCCCTAGGATCCCATAGCCCAGAAAACTCTTCAATGGTTCCACTTAGAAGAGATTTTAGAAATCATTTGATCTAGAGTTTCAAATTCATTTTCTGAAGTTGTAGAGTTACTAAAATGGAAGGTGACTTCACAGATCCAATCAGATTATCTTATTATTATTTTATTATTGCTTCTTCTTTGAGATTTTTAATATATGGGCTTCCATAGAAAATTTTGCTTGGGGGAAAAAAAGGTTCCAACAGTTCAAAAATTGCAAGTGAGTAATGTAATTCAAGTTTCTTATTTTATCATTGTGTAAATCAATGCCTGAAGATGCAAAGAGCCTCCTGGAAGGGACAGAGCAGGCTGAGCATTCAAGACAAAGCAGAGACTGGACCTTGAGGGATGTTTGCTCCCAGTCCAGGCTTGTTCACTACGTGTTTATCTCTTGGAAATGCTGGCATTTCATGGAGACTGGGAACACTTTTGTCTTTACATCACACCGCCTACCCCTCCTCGTGCTCCCCACCCACTCCCCATCAAGTTCTAGAGATAATCTCATGCTAACTCCACACCCTTTTCCTGTCAGAATAGACATTAATAATCAACCTTCTCCACAACTGTTTCTTTTGGCCTTGGGCATGGGAGTTGGAGAGGATGCTGGTGAATTTGTCTCACAGAAAATTCAAACACAGTTTCTGCAATGGAGGTGATTTCCAGGCAACTTAAATTATAAATCCATTTTGGGGGTCTTCAGGCCATTGCTCTGCAACCTAACAAATCCCACTGCACAATTTGCTCTAGTGAGCTTGTTCCTCACCATCCTGCAAACTACACTTAATCTGTGGGTGTATTCTATAGCTGCATCCTATGGAAGGTGATGTCAAATGTTCTATAAAAACTCCAAGTCTTACATCTGCTACTTGAACATTTTTATTAGCCATATTCAACAATAAAGAGAAAGCCAGAGTCACCACAGAAGATCACGTGGATCAGGTTCAATAAACTTTTCCAAAGCATTTACCCGCTGACTTGCTATAATATACTGATACTATAATAATTAATATAATTATTAATATAATAATCATAATAATAATATATAATATACTTGCTATAATAGTTATTGCTACTGTCTCCTTCCCCTAGCATGTAAGCTTGGTGAGGGCAGAGATCCTAGCCTATTGTGTTCACTAATGTATTCTAAGCACCTAGAACAGTGGTCAGCCCTCAATAAATACTTGCTGAGTGAATGACCTGAGCAGCACGGGAACAATGAACAAGAGCCTGAGGTGGGTGGCAGGAAACAAAAGTATCCTTGCTTTTTAGAAATTCCACCCAAGGGGCGCCTGGGTGGCTCAGTTGGTTAAGCGACTGCCTTCGGCTCAGGTCATGATCCTGGAGTCCCGGGATCGAGTCCCGTATCGGGATCCCTGCTCAGCGGGGAGTCTGCTTCTCCCTCTGACCCTCCCCCCTCTCATGTGCTCTCTCTCTCCTCTC